ACACCAGTTTTATAAACAGTTCGTAACTTGACACTAGCTTTATAAACAGTGCGTAACTTGACACTAGCTTTATAAACAGTGCGTAACTTGACACTAGCTTTATAAACAGTACGTAACTTGACACTAGCTTTATAAACAGTACGTAACTTGACACTAACAATGTTAACAATGAGTAACTTAACACTAGCTTAATATAAAGCTAGTGTCAAGTTACGTACTGTTTATAAAGCTAGTGTCAAGTTACTTACTGTTTATAAAGCTAGTGTCAAGTTACTCATTCTTAACATTGTTAGTGTCAAGTTACGTACTGTTTATTAAGCTAGTGTTAAGTTACTCATTGTTAACATTGTTAGTGTCAAGTTACGTACTGTTTATAAAGCTAGTGTCAAGTTACGTACTGTTTATAAAGCTAGTGTCAAGTTACGTACTGTTTATAAAGCTAGTGTCAAGTTACTCATTGTTAACATTGCGTAATTTGACACCAACTTTATAAACAGTCCGTAATTTGACACTAGTTGTATAAGCAGTAAGTAACTTGACACTAGTTTTATAAACAGTACGTAACTTGACACTAGCTTTATAAACTGTGCGTAACTTGACACCAACTTTGTAAACGGTGCTTAACTTGACACCAACTTTATAAACAGTACGTAACTTGACACTAGTTTTATAAACAGTACGTAACTTGACACTAGTTTTATAAACATTACGTAACTTGACACTAGCTTTATAAACAGTACGTAACTTGACACTAGCTTTATAAACAGTACGTAACTTGACACTAGTTTTATAAACAGTACGTAACTTGACACTAGTTTTATAAACAGTACGTAACTTGACACTAGTTTTATAAACTGTACGTAACTTGACACTAGCTTTATAAACAGTACGTAACTTGACACTAGCTTTATAAACGGTGCGTAACTTGACACCAACTTTATAAACAGTACGTAACTTGACACTAGTTTTATAAGCAGTAAGTAACTTGACACTAGTTTTATAAACAGTACGTAACTTTACACTAGCTTTATAAACAGTACGTAACTTGACACCGGCTTTATAAACAGTCCGTAACTTGACACTAGTTTTATAAACAGCACGAAAGTTGGCACCAGCACTGTTAGTTGCAGTCCAGCCCCTGTCCTAACTGTGAACCACGATAACTATAGTTCAACCCCCAGCCTAACTGTGACACACGTTAATTGTAGTGCAACCCCCAGCTTAACAGTGACTCCACGTTAACTCTGGTACAACCTCTGACCTAACAGTGGCACACTGTGTTAACTGTAGTACAACCTTTGGCCTAACAGTAATAACAGGCAACGCTAACTGTAGTCCAGTATTTTATGAAAGTGTAACACTTTTACAGTAAACTTGAAATTGTGTATTATATCGTTGAATTATGCTTATATTCATATATGCTAAGGTTTACTATTATACTCGACAAAAATATTGAATAACGGGCACGTTTTATCCATCAATTTCTGTAAATAGGCCTACTGATTATTTAAAAGATTAATCTGATATGAACAGTTTGTATTGCAGTCGAAATGTGAAACGTCATATTTTCATTTTTGATTTTTGATTTTTCTGTTGAATGAAAAAGAACCAATCACTATTTTATCCAGTAGTTTTTTTTTGTTTGTTTGTTTTTACTGGAAAATAACATTATGAAAATATACAAAGGCCAAATGAAAGCTACGTCTTTGTGGTTTACACTTTACAAGTAAGGATATTTAGTTGATTATGTGTGTTTGTATCTGCTCACTTTGTCCACATTCGTTATAATCTCCTAACAGAAGAGAAGTCGGAGTTAATGTAATGTATTTCGGTAAGTCAAAGGGTTTATAACGTTAAGCATCGGGTTTCAATCCCCGCGATGTGTGGAGTGCTTATAGCCCACTGTGTTGCTTTGCGCTTCAGGACAAACAAACAAAAATTAATTCGTATCATCTAGTGGCTCAGTAGTACACTTAAAAGCTTATACAGTTGAAATTCGGGGTTCAATCCCTACTATGAAAACAGCTCAGATAGCACACGGTGCAGCTCTGTGTTTCGCAACACATAAAGAAAAACGTTCGCGCTTAAATGAAGCAAAATCGTAAAAAAAAAACAGGATATAACTTCTACTAACTCTCGTTTAAATTTGAGAAAAGTATTGTTATATTTAGTTTTATCATTATTATTAGTAGTATTTTTTTTTCTTGGTCATTCAGTAAAATCTGGTATCACATTCACTCTAAATTTGTATGCATTTCACATGCAGCAATATAACTGTTTATCATTAAGATGGTGTCATCTTTTATATACATATATCTGACTGTAACGCTATATTCGCTGAAATAAGAATTTAAAATTCCGTAAACTTGGAAACACGAATTTGATATTTTCGTAAGGAAAATCAAATATTATAAATCAAGAGGTATGTTGTATTTTTCTTCGTTAATTACTAATAATTATATTTACATAAAATAAAGCTAGTTTTTTTTTTCTCGAGGAGTTACTGTTACCTAAGAATATCTTGTGTGTAAGTTGCAAAAAAAAAAATTATACATTTTTTATGTAAATTGTAAATAAACTGAACTGATTTTCTTTCCGGACAAAGAATTACTTTCGAGACAGTTGGAACACATTCGACTTTATTACAGTTGTAGGAAGTATCGTGGATGCGCTGGTGATGGAAATAGAGGTAAGTTGTTGTGAATATATATAGTTGTATTACATAAATGTGTTTTCGAGTTTCTGACAATGGTTGTTATTACGTCTAATCGTGATAAACGCAATGAAGAGTGCAGTTTCTACTGCACTATACACGAGACATTGTGAGAAAACGTATACGTATATCGTGTTGTTACATTTCTTAGCCCCCTGCCCCCCCCCCCAGTGGCACAGCGGTATGTCTGCGGACGTACAACGCTAGAATCCGCGTTTCGATACCCGTGGTAAGTAGAGCACAGATGGTCCATTGTGTAGCATTGTGCTTAATTCGAAACAAACAAACAGTGGCTCAGCGGTAAGTCTGAAGGCTTATCAAGCTAGAAATCGGGTTTCAATACCCGCGTTGGGCACAGCACAAATAGCCCCTTCTGTGGCTTTGTGCTTAATAACAGACTAATTCGTTTTGTAAAAGTGTGCAAATATAAATTCTCACACTGCAGAATCTACAGCGGAGTCCGTGTTTGTTACACAGTTATTGTAAAAAAAAAATGTCTGAGAATTTCAATCACTAGGACAATTAAAACATCTAGAAATGTTTTTTCTATAAAATAAACTGCTGGGACTAATTACTAACTTAATCAAAAGAGAAGCTACAGTTACCTGATCTTGTATTAATCATTTAGAATGTCTGACCGGATCAATCTTTGCCTTGCTTATTCAACCTTGTTTTTAACTGACAGTAGGTTGTACCGAATGACTAAGAAACGAGACCATGCACAGAATGTATCAGAATAACTTATGTATAGAAATGTCAATTAACATTTGGACAAGAATGATCGGGAGAGGTTAGGAAATTTAATGTATTTATTAACTCTTTAGGTGAATTTCTTCAACGTTGGGTGGTTAAGACTGTTTCGAGCTGCTCGTCTTATCAAACTTCTTCGTCAAGGATACACCATTAGAATCTTGTTGTGGACCTTTATTCAGTCTTTCAAGGTGAGTCTCTTTCGAGCTGCCTGGAATGAAAGAAGCGGAACCTTTTGTTTAATTAGATCCAAGCGTTATACTGCAGTTGAAATTTCCTTTATCTCTTCGTTTCTGAGCGCCCCCCCCCCCGAGTGGCACAGCGGTATGTCTGCGAACTTACAACGCTGTGCATAACTTCAAACAAACAAACGTTTCTGAGAGGACTTTTTTAAGAGCTTAACTCTGGAGATTATTGGGCCCGATATGGATTGTTTGTGAGGGCGCTCGACTCACAATGTGCGTGTTGCGAGTTCGAATCCCGTCATCGAACATTCTCGCCCTTTAAACCGTGTGGGCGTTATAATGTGACGGTCAATCCCACTTTTCGTTGATAAAGAGAATCCCGTCATCGAACATGCTCGCCCTTTCAACCATGTGGGGATTATAATGTGACGGTCAATCCCACTTTTCGTTGATAAAGAGAACCCAGTCATCGAACATACTCGCCCTTTCAACCATGTGGGGATTATAATGTGACGGTCAATCCCACTTTTCGTTGATAAAGAGTAGTCCAAGAGTTGATGGTGGGTGTTGGTTTTGACTAGCTGCTTTTCGTCTAGTCTATTACCGCGAGTAGCTTGTCGCGAAATTCAAATACAAACAAACAAATTGTTGACTATTCAGTTTTTAGCACTTCGAATGGGAACGATGTTTTTCAAGATCTTTCTGGAAAGCCTTTTTTTCTTCTTCTTTTCATGATTAAACCTGCAGATTAATAACTCCAAAACATTATTGCAATTCAATATAGAAGTATTTATTGTTGCTTTGAAGGCATTTAAGTTTTTCTAGGAATTACATTTATTTTGTATTAAATCTATAGAAGAGCATTCGGCAAACTTATCCTTGCACCCCCCCCCCGATAGATTAGCCGTGCGTCTGAGATACTATTACGCTAAAAATCGGGGTTCGATACCTGCGATGGGTGCAGCATAATTAACTTGTTATTTTAGGCCTAGTTTTGATTTTTTGAGACTGATATTTTTGAAATTTCGTTTATTCGAGTAGTGACCCCAGTGGCACAGCGGTATGTCTGCGAATTTATAACGCTAGAATCCGGTTTTCGATATCCGTGGTGGGCAAAGTACAGATAGCCCATTGTATAACTTTTGTGCTCGACTGGCAACAAACAAAGAAACAAATTAATAAGTGACATATTGAAAAGCCCTCCCCCCCCCCCCGAGTGGCACAGCGGTATGTCTGCGGCCTTGCAACACTAGAATTCGGGTTTCAATACCCGTGGTGGGCATAACACAGATAGCCCATTGTGATGTCTTGTGCTTAACTTCAAACAAACAAATTTGGAAGTATCTACGATCTTCTCGGAAAGTATGGGGCGGTGAGTTGGCGGTGGGTGCTGTTGAGTAGTTGCCTTCCCTCTAGTTTATGAGTTCAGAATTATTGATCTCTAGTGTCCGAGATAAGGAATTTGTATGAATAAACAACAACAACAACAAAATTCTGTGAAGATCGACAAATATAATACATATGTTTGACTTCGAAAAATTTAATATATATGTGGGACTTCTTCGAAAAAATTAATCTACATGTGATTTCTTTTGTGTTGATATTTTAGGCCTTACCTTACGTGTGTCTCCTTATTGCCATGCTTTTCTTCATCTATGCAATCATAGGAATGCAGGTAAGAGAATTGTTAAGAAAGCAATTATTGATTTAACATAGTTGTAGTGAACTCTAATTTGTAAAAGAGGGTTCTTCTTACAGAACTGAGGGTCGTACAAACTTGTAGTAAATATTACTTGTAAGAAGAATACATAGATCAGAATTGAGGGTCGTACAAACTTGTAGTAAATATTACTTGTAAGAAGAATACATAGATCAGAATTGAGGGTCGTACAAACTTGTAGTAAATATTACTTGTAAGAAGAATACATAGATCAGAATTGATGGTCGTACGAACTTGTAGTAAATATTACTTGTAAGCTGTGGGTGCGTTAGAAGAGTGATAGTCAATTCCTTAGGGCGAGTGATGGATGGTAGGTTTCAGATGACTGGCTACTCTGGTCAGTAGTTCAAAATTAGGGACAGCGACAGATAGCCTTAGTAGCTTTGTCATAAATACAAATGCGCTTTAAGTAATTCAGAAGTATGCTCATACAGGTTGAGGTTTATTTTAGTCAGTTATATTAGACAACTGGTTTGTGAGTGGGTAGTTTTATTAGACAACTTGTTTGTGAGTGGGTAGTTTTATTACATCTACCTTTCTCGAATGGAACAAAAACAAAAACACGAACTCCTATATTTCACAAAGAATTCGATAGGGGTGGATTTTTTAGCCTAAGAAACCTTACAGTGCTAACTAAATAATTTAAATTACTATATTATTACAAATGTACTTCAGTGCTATGGTACCTTACAGTGCTAACTAAATAATTTAAAGTATTACATTGTTCAAATGTGCTTCAGTACTATGGTACCTTACAGTGCTAGCTAAATGATTTAAGTTATTATATTGTTACAAATGTACTTCAGTATTATGGTACCTTACAGTGCTAGCTAAATGATTTAAGTTATTATATTGTTACAAATGTACTTCAGTATTATGGTTCTTTACAGTGCTAACTAAATGATTTAAGTTATTATATTGTTACAAATGTACTTCAGTATTATGGTACCTTACAGTGCTAGCTAAATAATTTAAATTATTATATTGCTACAAATGTACTTCAGTACTATGATACCTTACAGTGCTAACTAAATAATATAAAGTATTATATTGTTACAAATGTAGTACTATGGTTCCTTAGAGTGCTAACTAAATAATTTAAAGTATTATATTGTTACAAATGTACTTCAGTATTATGGTACCTTACAGTGCTAGCTAAATAATTTAAATTATTATATTGTTACAAATGTACTTCAGTGCTATGGTACCTTACAGTGCTAACTAAATAATTTCAAGTATTACATTGTTCAAATGTACTTCAGTACTATGGTTCCTTAGAGTGCTAACTAAATAATTTAAATTATTATATTGTTACAAATGTACTTCAGTACTATGGTACCTTACAGTGCTAACTAAATAATATAAAGTATTATATTGTTACAAATGTACTTCAGTATTATGGTTCCTTACAGTGCTAACTAAATGATTTAAGTTATTATATTGTTACAAATGTAGTACTATGGTTCCTTAGAGTGCTAACTAAATAATTTAAATTATTATATTGTTACAAATGTACTTCAGTATTATGGTACCTTACAGTGCTAGCTAAATAATTTAAATTATTATATTGTTACAAATGTACTACAGTACTATGGAACCTTACAGTGCTAACTAAATAATTGAAATTATTATATTGTTACAAATGTACTACAGTACTATGGTACCTTACAGTGCTAACTAAATAATTTAAAGTATTATATTGTTACAAATGTACTACAGTACTATGGTTCCTTACAGTGCTAACTAAATAATTGAAATTATTATATTGTTACAAATGTACTACAGTACTATGGTACCTTACAGTGCTAACTAAATAATATAAAGTATTATATTGTTACAAATGTAGTACTATGGTTCCTTACAGTGCTAACTAAATAACTCGAAGAATTATATTTATGCTTTCAAATCATAATATTTATATTCATGTGTTAAGATATTACTTTGAAAACCGGAAGTTGTTTGTAGATGACTAAAACAGTAAAGTAAATGAATGTATAACCTGTTTCTGGTACAGGAACTGAACATTTTATGTTAAGAATAAATGCATAATTTATGAACTTTTACTTTATTGGTTGGTATAATGTCACGTGACCATTTGGTGTAAACTGTAATGGTAAGAATTGTTATACGCGAAAAAATTTTAGTTTGAATTTAATTTGTGCTCAACCCCATTTCCTCTTTAGTTAACACCAAATCTTTGCTACCTCAACCAAATTATGTGTTTAATAAACACTTTTTATTGCTTGCTTATTTCTCAAATTGATCCTACTTGTGGAACATAATATAACAATTACTAAAATAAATCCATAATAAATATGTTTTTAGTGTCACAGAGCTATGAAATTCTTTAGTCAACAGTCGCCCGCCATATTTGTTTTCTGTCTTGCACTCCTTTGAATACATTTCTACAACCTTTCTTCTGTTATTTCCCATCCTGGACACCATCAGGTCTTTGGGAACATGCAGAATCAACCAGATACAGATATCAATCGTAACAACAACTTCCAAACCTTCCTACTTTCGTTGATGCTCTTGTTTAGGTGAGTCCAACACCAGAGGGCGCCGTTATGCGGGTGAAGAACTTAATCGTCGTTGTATTTTCAGTTCTCCAAAATCAATTAAATTAGAAATAAAATTCTCTGTTTAATAAACAAAAAATTGACTTTTAAATATTTGAAATTATAATTTTGGAAAAGTCTTTAATTTAAGAAGAAAAAAACAGAGCAAAAATTAAATCAGAAAATAACGTTACGTTAGAACTTACGCTGATGTTAAGAACTACCGCGACCAAATATCTCGTTAAAATGCAACGATGAGAATTCCATCCTTTACCCCAACTTTGTAAAAAAAGTTATAGCTCAGAAAGTTTCCATATATGTGGAGATTGTTGGAAAACCGATAGAGCAAGAACTCAGAAAACGTTTTTTTTTTTTGTTGTTGTTGTTTTTATTTATTTATTTCAGCAGTTTTCCCCTGCCTGTCTGCCTGCTTGCTTGATTCAGTGTATTCCTATTCAAGTGAACCCGCTTTCTATTTGCCTGTAGTCATTGTTTCTCTAGTTAGAATTGGCTTTGTGTTTTAATTGTAGTAGTTGAATAGACTGTATTAGGCTTAGTTATAATTAATGTAGCCGTACTAATTCATTGTATCACTAGTTAGAATTCCGTATGTGTTTTGATTGTAGAAGTGTAATAGACTGTATTAGGCCTAGTGATTATTATTATTACAGTCGTACTAATTCATTGTGTCACTAGTTAGAATTCCGTATGTGTTTTGATTGTAGAAGTGTAATAGACCGTATTAGGCCTAGTGATTATTATTACAGTCGTACTAGTTCATTGTGTCACTAGTTAGAATTCGGTATGTTGTTTTTATTGTTAGTGTAGAAATTGGACGGAGTGTATTTATAGAGATGGTAGAAGTGGAATAGACTGTATTAGGCCTTGTGATTAACGATTTAGTGGTACTAACTGTTTTCCACATCCTTCCGTCCACACAATTAGGTTTTTGGTAATATCGCCCTCAACCCAGAAACATCGATAACGCGCCATAATAACTTCCGTAACTTCTTCCAAGGACTTTTGCTTCTCTTCAGGCAAGTACACTTATCATCTGGTCTTGGTTCTCTTCAGGCAAGTACATTTATCATCTGGTCATGCTTTTCATTTGGCAAGTTCCCTCTTCATCTAGTCTTGCTTTTCTTCAGGCAAGATCCTTCTTCGTCTGGTTTGAACGACTAACACTTTCCTGTTCGTTTAATGATGTCTCAGCTACCAGTTACGTGTTGTTCATCCAAGTTATTAAGATTATTTCGACTTTAGTCCTTTTTCAAAAATGGAATCCAAGAACTCGTGGAAGTTTTCACACAGTTACATTTTCAAACTGAGATTTTCATTAAGCCTAATTTTGAACAAATTCATATTTCGAAGTTCCACTCAACTCAGCCTGGAACGTAACTCTAATTTTTTTTGTCATTAGAGTTGGTATCAATTAAAAATTTAAATGAGAAGGATGAAACATTATTTGTGAAAGTTTTAAGATTTTTATTAATCGTAACTATTTAAATTCAACATTAAGTTTTATTAAACATACATCCCCATCCTCTTTCTTATAGGAGACAGAAATCAAAGCACTGTTTAACCCTAACTTTATCATTTTCGCCATGTTATTTTGAATGAAGAATTACTTATGATGGTGATTAATACTTAGTAGTACAAATAAATTAGAAATCTGGCATAGTCTGTTAGCTAGGGGGCGCTCGATTCTCATTCAGCATGTCGCGGGTTCGAATCTTCGTCACCGAACATGCTCGCCCTTTCAGTCGTGGGGGCGTTAAAATATGGCGGTCAATCACACTATTTGTTGTTAAAATAGTAGCCAAAGATTTGACGGTAGGTGGTGTTGACTAGTTGCCTTCCCTCTATTATAAATCGTAACTAGGGCAGGATATAAAACGAAACTATAAAAACATGTTGAAGACCGTGAGCAGTGTTGAATAGGACTAAAGCATAAGATCATTTTGCGTGTTAAAAATGTGCGTTTAAATACGGAAGGATATACACGTGATAACACTTGTGAACGTATGTTTGGTGTTGTACCTCCCACTCCCTCTCTCCCTAATTGTGAGGAGTAATGAGCTTAAAGACCAAATTATTTGAAATCTGTACAAGTATTTAGATAGAAGGTGACCGTTGGAACGTATCTATAATGAATCATATATTCGTTCTCAGTTTCCATAAATTTAATTAAACTTTCACTTAGGTAAGCCTAAATTATTCAGTGTTGAATATTACACTTTTTAATTGTAATAGTTTATCAAAAAAATTTTTTTTGTGGTTATGTGAACAATGTTAATAGCTCAGGTGTTAATCATTAATTTTAACAGAAAAAAAAATTAGCACCACGTTTTTCATGTAACAGTAAGATTTAGTGGTTCTTTTACATCAAATATTCTAATCATTACTGAGAACCGCTCAAATACGGGTTATCAATTTCAATGTAAATCTCATAGGTAGTTCCAAAATATAACTCCATACACAGATCAAGAGTAACTCATTACAGTTTCACAAAAAAAAAGCATCTACATTTTTAGGGTATAACTCTTTACACAATTTCACAGTATAACCCTTCAGACATGTTAGGGCATAACCCTTTACACAATTTCACAGTATAACCCTCAA